TATTCTTATTATTATTATCATTATTATTATTATTAATATTATTTTTAGTTATTATTACGGTAATGTGCTATACTATCTCTGTCCTCGCTCTGAATGTTAAGGAGCGGGGGCTGCGGCCTGTTGTGTCAGAGCAGAAGCTGGTGTCACCTCTCTGCCGCATGTTTTTCCTCGACTGTGCAATTCGTTATGTTCTGCAACTCTTAATTTCATGCACAGGTTTGCTATGTGTGTCGCTTAAGCTATCAGGCTATACTGTCGTGTGATTTCCCATGTGGCGTGACGTCGTGGATTCTGCTGCGTTTATTGCATCGTGTTATAGCATACGACATCCCGTTCACCCTCAACTCGCGAGATAAGCCGATCCAGTACCCTCAATCCTGTTCCTTGAGTTCTTGCTTGTCAGGGGCCGCAGTGGGCTGTCTCCAGCAGAGGAGAGAGCTGTTTGCTGGTCTTTTTTCGCTAGCTTCCTTGGCGCAGCTTCAGGCGTAGTGTTCACTGGTTCCCTCTTCTCTTGCACTGGTAATGCTGTGCAGTCGATCTGTATTTCTCTCCGTCTAAAGTCCGCGTGAGTGAACTGCCGTAGATGGTTCAAGATTTTGTCACCCTTTTTTTCTCTCTTTGTCTCTTCGTGTCTCCCTTTCTGTCTCTCTAGCACGTTATTATATCTGTCCATTGTTGTCTTTCTCTCTCCCTCGCTCTCTCTCCATCTCTTGTTGTACACACACACACGTGCACCCAGATCTATGTGATCATTCTCCCAGCAGCAGCGAGTTGCCGTGGCTGAAAGCTCCGGCCTCTCAGGACCCTCCGAAGCCTGGAGAGCCTCAGCGGGTTTGCATGAGGCCACCGGGCCTTTGCCGAACTGAAGCGACAAGAGACAAATGCATGGATCAGAGAGAGGCAGAGAGTTCGCGACAGACTTCGGGACAGAGACAGAGAAGAGAGAGATAGAGAGAGAGAGAGAGAAACAAAAAGGAGAGACGCCATGATGGGAGAGAAACATAGTGTACTTCTCTCTCCGGGTGTGTGTTTGTGTGCAGACACTATTTTGCTTTCCATTCGCCTTTATATACAGGGCGGCTTGTGGGGTTGCTCTGCACGCCGACGCTCCCTTCCACAAAACGTGCGCGCATGTTTGCGGCTGGGGTCCTGCGAGGCCAACAGACGTCAACACAAATAGGGGCAGACACGCACACAGTGACAGACAAACGAACGCTTAGGCGTGGCACCAGTGACTGCGACATGCTACTAGCAGAAAGGAAACTTTGTACCAAGGTGGCACGCAGACACCGGGAATGGCACGTTTGACATTGAGGATCCGTCAATGGGGTTTGAGTCTGAGCCTGCTGTATCAAACGGAAGGACTGGTACCACACGAGAATGAGAATGAAACACAATGAGATGATGTGAAGCAAGCTGCAGTGCACGTGCTTGCTGTGACTGTGTGTTCGTGTGTGCATTTAAGCCGTTATGCTGATTCCAGAAACGCAGACGCGGCTTGTTGCCCCCCTTTTGGGGTTGATCCAGTGTTTGGGGCATTGGATGGCATCGTTGCAATCCCAAGCGGGGAGCCGGGGCGGCTGTGCTGCCTGCATTGCGAAGGGCGGATGGTCGAAAGAAGATCCACACCACCTTTCCGGCTGGGGGGCTGAGTTGCTCTGAAGCAGGGTCGAGAAGTCGAGGATTCGAGATTTTCCGGGCCTCCGAGCATAGTTTGGCTTTTGCGAAGTTTGGCAACCCAGTCCGCGAAAACCAAGCCTCCAGGCCAGAGTTTACATCCACCGCAGTGGCTCAGCATAAATCTTTAACGTTCTTATTATTGTATTGTTGTTGTAGTTATTCTTTTAGCAAGGTATTGCTTCTGCCTTTCTCATCAGTCTTGGCATGACTCATACTGTGCCGTCGGGAACCTGCCACTGCTGCTGTTGTCGTTGCACTCGCACGGTTGCGTAGCAGATTTTGTTTTGTTCGGCTTCCCGTCTAGGCTCCAGCATGGCGCTGATCCTACATGTGAAGTTCCTTCACGACTCTCCTTGTAGGATCTACTTAACTTGAATAGAAAGGTCGGTAACCTTTTCATACCACTTTGATATTCTGGGGATAATGCATGCATGCATGCTGTTACGTTCGATTGAAGCTACTATGCTCTTTTATCATCAGGTTGCAGCAAGCCCTTCCCAAAATCTCGTTCCAATTTTTCGGCCCTTCTCACGGCTTCGGCTGGGTACAGTCGAGGACGGCGGTGAGATGGTGGAAGAGTACGACGAGAAGACCGACGTCCTTCTCGTTCGGAAGCCTGGGCCACGGACCTTTTCGCTCCTTGCTTCGACTCCGCTCTTCGATCCTGGGCCCAGAATTTCTATAAATCGAATTTGGAGGGAGAATCGTGAGCAGACTGGGGAGCTTTGTGGGGATGGGATCTCTTCGATGCGGGTCTCTCTGTATGGCTCTTACTCGTAGTCGAGTCGATGTGCATCTTCCATCGGATATTCAGGTTCAGCGTCTGAGCAAGATTCGTGCACCATGCAGCGTTGCATCAGTCAGCCTGCAATGATGTTGGTGGCCATGATGCAGATGGTGGTGATGATAACGGGGGGAGACAATGGCGAGTTGGTTTTGACGACGATGACGATGGTGATGATCGCCATCATCCAGGCCATGATCAAGCTCGTCTACTTCATCACCATGTTCAATGACCATGCTCACATTAGTGGTCGCCGCCGTCATCATGATCATGAACATCGGCACCGCCACCGCCAGGGCTGCCACCACCACCGCCACCGCCACCGCCGCCACCACCACCACCGCCACCACCACCACCATCATCATCATCATCATCCTCGTCATCGTCATCGTCATC